CATATTTTGTTCAATATGATATAATATTTGATCATATTGATGAATTTGAAAAAAAAAACAAGACTGTAAGAATATGTTCCAAAAAACAAGCAAATCAAGGTAAATTTATACTACTAAATATGCAATATTTATAATTTTATACAATTTTTATAGCTAATTGTTGTATATTTATAGTGATCTATTTTAACCATAGCAATATATATAAAATATCAAATTTAAAATATTATAAAGGATTGTTTATAAAATTTAAAATATTTTTTCGCCATCTTAACAAAAAGTTATTAATTGAATTAGGAAATGGTACTGTTAATGTTGGTAATATCATAAAAAGTGAAAACTTGAAATCTGTACAACATCTAATTATAGTTAATAAGGAAATAAAAATAGGAAAATTATATATAATTATAGAATTAGGTTCGGATTCTAATTATTGTGAAAGACAATATATTGGTAAGCATATGTGAAATAGAAAATAAATTATTCTAAAAATTACTCTAAATCTTTTTTCTATCTTTTTAGATAATATAATTTCTACTAACATTCCTATTTTAGATCCACAACAATTATTAAATGAACCTAAAAATAAAAATAGTAAAAGTATTATAGAAAATCAATCTAAAATAGGTAATGAAATATTATCAGAAGCCCTAACTACAGATAGTTCTTCAGTTGTAAAGAATGTATCACAATTTACAACAGAAATAATAGATGATAAAAAAATAGATACAAAAAATTATAAAAATACAGATCTAGATAAGGTATAAAAATATTTATGTTATAAATACATATAGATTGATTATTTCTAATAATAAAATAATCATTATATAGGTTTTACTTCATGGTTTAATATATGTATTTGAAGGATTAGATTTGTCAGAGTTAAACACATATTTAATATGTAGAGCATTTTGGAAAGAAGATAAAACTAAAAGTCAAGTCTGTAACAATACCAAAAATCCATCATACCAATTTTGTCAAGTAAATATTTTGTGGATTTGATAATTTATATATGTTTAATAATATGTATATATGTTTAATAATATTATTTATATTTTTATTCTAGTTAATTCCTCTTATTTATGATAATGATTTATTGGAACGTATTAAAGATAATTATATAATCATTGAAGTTTATTCTAGAAATAATAATATTGATAATTTATTAGGATTGACAAAATTATCTGTACATCAGTTATATGTTGCATATAGAGATCCACGAGTATTATCTTATTTGATATTATCTAAAGTATATCTTTTAAAATTAATATAATTTTTTTTAATTTTTAATTTTAATAGCTTTATAATTTTATAAAATTTATTATTCTAGTATCCAGTAATAAGTGTAGATGGATGGGTCCCAATTATAGATCCTGTTTCTGGTCAATCTTGTGGTCAATTACTTGCATTGGTAGCTCTTGGAACTGCTGAACAAATTGCATTATTAAAAATGTCAAGAAATTTGCAATCTTTTGGAATATCTCAAATAATGAATTTAAATAAATTTTTTGATCTTAAAAAACAAGCACAAGATATGCAACATAGTATATGTAAAACGCAATTAAATAAAGAGGAAATTTTACAAAATAATTCTCAAATATATGCTACTAATATAACTAATACAATTAAAAAAGAATTATATTTTCCAAATTCGGAAAATCGAGAATGTCAGACAGATATCTCCATTATTAAAGAATTAAAATTTAATGAAAAATTACAAAAAAACATTTCAAATTCAGAACATTCGATTTTACATACAGTTGATTATTTAACGCAAATTTCAAGTGTTAACAAAAATAATACAGACCAAGCGACACAAACTGACGTAGATTTGAAAGAAAAAAAACAAATAAATAAAGAACAAATATATTCAAACGAAATGAACTCTAATAATAGTTTTGATGATAGTGATAATAGTAGTGTTAAGCACAACTTTTATTTACCAACAGAAATATATAGAAGCGTTGGAGTTGGTGCTGAATACAATGAAGAAATCAATCAACAACCAAATAGTAATCATAGTAATACAACATTTGAGCTATCAACTATAATTCAAGCAGAAAACGAATCAATGAATTCCACATATAGTCAAACAATGTTTAGAGCTATTGTGGAAATTGAGTGTGCTTTACATTTACCAAAAATAGAAAAAATTGATGGAACTATTGATCCTAGTACATATGTATCCTTTCAGGTCAATCAATCTAATCATGCAAACCATTTAAACTCATACATGATTACTAATGTTTTCCCATATAGTTGTAATCCGAAATGGAATTGGAAATGTGATACACAATTACCAACAGAATTACTTTTATATGTATGTAATTTTCTGGATTTGTAAATAAAATTTTTTTTTTTTTAATTAATTTTAAATATTTTTTTTTCAGGATAAAAAGAGATTAATTTTAAAAGTTTGGCGGATATTAGATACAGATATCAGTATGCAAATAAATTTGGAAAATGACGTTGTTCTCGGATTTTCTGCTATTGATCTTTCTATTTTAAAAAATGGTTTTCCAACAGTGTCTGGTTGGTTTCATATAATGGATTTTACTGGAAAATGCAATGGACAAATTAAAGTATTATATATTTCATTTATATATAGTATATATAGTATTTGCTTTTATTTTATTTTTTATTTAACTATTTATATTTTAGGTATGTATAACACCATTAGATAATTTATCATTATTTGGAAGATCAATAACTCGATTACCAACATATTCCGTGACACAATTAAATAAGATTCCATTATATGCTCATGAAATGCATTCTCGTGATATTGAACGAAATAACATCAATTATACTTTATCAACAGTTGTACAAAAAGAAGAGAAATTATTACATAATGAAAATCAATCAAATGACTCAAATACTCATATTGATTTTGAAGATGTATCAATGTCATTTTTATCCTTATCTTTGAAGTAAATTAATTTGATTATATTTTCTCATTTTACAATAATATTTTTATATAATTATAAGCTCGATATTTATATTTTTTATATTATATTTTTTAGACAAAAATTAACTGAATTAGATGAAATCACAAAACGTCTAAAATCACGATTATATGATATCACAAGTACAGCTTTCGAAGATGATTTGGAAAATGAATTTGAATTAACCAGCGATAATGGAAATAATGATCATAAAATTATCGATCCAGTAGTATCTACAATGGATTATAATAATAAAATATGTTTAGATAGAAATACTAAAGAAAATGAAAATGAAAATATATCAAATGATACAACAAAATTTAACATTCAAAATTTCTTATCAAAAACTTATATCAGTTGTGATAATTCAGTTAGTTGCGAAATAATAAAACATAATTCTTCTAAAATATTGAATTCTTACGATAAACGAAATTTATTAAATGATAATTCTGAAATACAACAACAAAATGAAGATTTAGTGCAAAATATTAAAACATTAGACGATACTTTTATTGACTATCCAAAACAAGGAACTAAAGCACATATAAACTATTTACTTGATAAACTCTCTTCATTTCCTGCACAATCTTATTTAACTAAAATTATGCCAATGGAGAAAGATATTACTAATGTATTAACAAATTTACCAAATAATAATTGTTTACAAGATACTAATCAAGAACTTAAAATATTTACATCACATACACAAATGGATAATATACAAAATTCAGTAAATCCAGTAACAAATTCTATGTTCAGAGAAGTTGATATATGTGATCAAGATTCACAAATTGCTAATAAAATGTCAACAGTAATTCGTGAAGAATTAATTGCTGAGGAAAGTAGCAATACATCCAAATGCGACGAATTAACAACATATCTTATAACTTCAAATATTCGTCATATGGATTTAAATAATATTTGTAATTTACCTTTATATCAACATTTAATGCCTGATTTATATTACCCACATACATCATTGGAAGAAGAAACTATTAAACAATTAGATAATCGATATAGCAAAGAATTTAATACATCAAAAAATAACAAATTAAACAAAATACATGATTTAAACGGAACTAATATAACTATAGAAAATACTAATCATTTTAGAACAACACCATCTGGAATATCAGAAAATATTATTAGTAGTACTAATTTCATTGGTTTTCATGATACAAATTACAATGACCAATTGGTAAATAATAGTACAGAATCGACTACAACTATATCGATTGCAAATTCAATAGTAAAATCAATTGATTCAGAAATAGTTGAAAATGATGATTCTATATCTTTTGAAACATCTGATTTAGCGCTTTCAAGACAAGCTCCTGATGGTGGTAATCCTATAGAAGATAATAAAAAATCATTAATTACATAACAAGAAAATGAAATTCTTCATTCATAATCAAGTATTTATGTTTATAACTAATATAAATATATGTATTATAACTAATACAAATTTGTTTATATTATAGCCATAATTATAACATTAAAAAAAAAATCTATAAATATCTTAAGATATTTTTCTTATTATGTATGTATAAGCATTAAAAAAATCCTATATACGTTTTAATATATTTATTTAAGTAAATTGTTTAAATTTTAAATATAGTTTATTCTTTTATAATATACATATAAGTTTTCATTATTAATTGATAATTTGCATAATTTATGTTTGTGTGCGCGCGCGCGTGTGTATCTATTATAATACTTAAAATATTTAATTCATTAATAAAATAACATTAATAAAATAATACGTAATCTGTAAAAAAGTAATATTTATATGAAATTATTATATATATACATAATAATTGTGCACATTATATAGAATTTATTATTAATATTAATAAATTGTTTAGAATATGATAAATATATATAATTTAATTATTTTTTATATGATCTTTGTATACAAATAAAAGAGATTTGTATTAATAAATTAAATAAATTGTATCTATTAAATCTTTTGAATACATCAGATAATGATAATAAATAAATATTTTCTTATAAAAAATGAGAAAAATAAATATTAAAAATAAATCTCATTCGTTTTGCTAAGTTTTTAAAATAATATATTTTATTTTTATTATTATATAATTATATAATATATATCAATTTATTCATTGAAATAAATAGAAAGATAAGCTTCTTTACGTATCCATTGTTCAGCTCTTGCAGGATGTATCAACCATATTTTTGCAGTTGTAGTTTCATGTTGATGCATAATTGAACAATCACGTATTTTCTAAAATAAATATGTAAATAAATAAAACAAATAAAAATTTATATACATTCATATATAATTATAATTATGATTTTTCACAATAAATGCTTACATGAAATTTTTTTAATTCCTTTCTTTTGAATTTTATTTCTTTTTCATATTCTTTATCCATACATGATCTACATAAAAATATTTCATTTTTAAAATGCCAATAATCACCAATTGGCTTTTTTCCACATATTTTGCAAGAATCTGTATTTCGATTACAACATTTAAGCTCCACTCCAAGTTTCATTTTGACTTTACCTCCAAAACTATGCTGTACCATATTAACTTTTTTTTTCATATTAGCATACATTCCTGGACTACATACATTAAATTTTAATTTATATAAGCTAAATTAATATTATATAAATATTACAACAATATTAATTTTATACCCTGGCATTGTATTACTAAAAAATGTTTGTCTTTTACTATTAGAGTCAAATGGATATTTGGATTTATGTATTAATTTAGGAAATACATAATCATAATGTGATGGTGATGGATAACTATCTTTAAACATAATTTTTTTACTAAATCTAGCAATTCCGCTGTAACCTTTTTTACTAATACTATGAGAACAAGGCTGAAACAAAGTAAAAAAAATATATATATAATATAAATTTATTTTACGATATTAAATTCTATAATTAATATTTTTTAACAATTAATCTATACCTTCGTTTTAATTGCTTTAAATGATTCTAGAACATTGTATGAATTTGGTGCTATATTTGGATAATCTTCTAATGTATAATATCTCATAAATGGATTCATATATTTTTTTGATATAATATCTCGAGGACATCCTGATCCAAAACATATTTTTTGTTGTTCTTGTTTTTGTATAACATATTTAAATCCTATTATAAAATTTTATTATTATATATTATAAATAACATCATTTTGTTGTATTTGAAAATAATTAACACAGTCACATTAATGTTTATATTTTCAAAATATTTAAAAATTTTTGAATTTTAAGAAAAATATATTATTAATAAAGTATATATATACCTTCCTGATTACTAACTGTCATTATTATGTAAATATGAAATATATTTAATATAAATGTTACAATTTCAAATTTATATCAATAAAGTCAATAATTATTAGTAACTTATATGCTATATATAAGTATATATCTATTGAATGAATTTATGTATCTATACTCATAAAACGCTATATTAAATGTCTCTAATATTCATAATTAAGATTTTATTATCCTTTTATACATTTTTTTGTTATATAATTCATATTATAAAAGTAATTGTATTAAATTATAAAATAAAAACTTTGAATTTTGCAATTTTATTATTGAGTAATTTATAATATTTATAATATTAGAAATCACATCTTTCATTTTTTTCAATTTAAAATTATAAATAAATTTTTAATTTATTAACGAAGTTTTTTATTTTCATTAATATTAAAAATTTTAAAAATGTATTTATAGATTTTTTTATAAAGTACTATAATATTGAGTTTTCATGAAAATAATTTTAAAATAAATAATAAATTATAAGAAATATTTATGTAACATATTAATTTAAATTAAAATTATATATATAAATAAATATATGCAAATAATATTATATTCATAATAATATTATATAATAAAAATAAGAAAATAACCAATCAGTGTACAGTAAATTATATTTTACTCAATTCTACGAAATGAAAATAGAGGGCATCTTTTGTATACACTTTTACGGCACTTAAAAAAATATTTTTTCACATTATATATTAAAAAATATTTAACATTTATATTTATTTTAATTAATTACAATTTTTATTTCATATATCATATAATATATATTTGTAAATATATTTTATAATTATAAAATTTATATTTCAGCGCCCTCATATAACGCATGTTTATATTGTATTGCACAGATATAACTTACGCAGTTTGAGTCAAATTCACAACTTTCTTAAAAAGAAAATATTAATATTTACTATTTGAATTTTTATGAATAATTTAAGATTGAAATAAATGAATAGAAGATATAATTATAGTTAAAATATTTGTTCAAATAAGAAAGAAAGAAGAAAGAAATATTTAAAGTACAGGAAGCATTATAGAAGTTTAGTCGAACAACAGAGTGCGGTAGTCTTAGCAGGTCGATGGTGCTGTTCGTACTGACGGTTCGTTTGCAGCCGTCTTTGCTTCGTGATGCGTCCACTGATGTGTGTTTCTGCACATGGCCGTGCCGCCCAACGGGCTTCTGTATTGTTCTACAGTTTTTCGCACTTTATCACCGGTAAATGGACTTATTATAATTAAATTTTCTATTCCAACGATTAAAAAATACGCATTTTGTGCCTTGAACTATACAAAAAACGTTTTTCGTGTCGATAATTATAATTAATAAGTCAAAAAGTGAGTCTTTGGTAATATCGCATCAGTGTTTAATTCGCGATATAGAGTTTAGCATTTTTCCTGGATTTTCAAAAAACTCATTATTTATGAAACTATAGTCGATTTTATATAACTTTATGTTATAAGATTTTATCAGTGAAGATTTTTTTTTAAGTCATTACGTGTAATGTAACATTCAAGGACGCACAGCGACAAATAAATCATAATTCTTATATATTAATACATCTTATCTAAAATTGTATGATTCAAATATGTTACGTTATTTTATACAGAAATTGTAAAAATGAATAAAATTATAGATATTTAGCTTATTAAAAGATTTATTGCTTTAATTATTTACTAATATAAATTTCTATTGTTATAATCATTAAAAAATTACTTGTATATGTTATTGTAACAATATTTATTTTTTATAGAAATAATTATTTCGTAAATTTTCATTAAATATACTTACAAATTACAAATTACAAATTTAAATACAATTTAAATTAAAGTTTTAGATTTTTTCTAAATAATTGTATATTATGTATACTTGTTGCTTTTATTTTTTTTTTGCAATTTATAACTTTTAATTGAATGAAATTTGTTTTCATTCAGTGTATGTCTAATTATCTATATTAATATTTATTCTTTGAATATTTGTAAGAATTAAATATTTTATAAAACTAAATGTTTAATATTATGTAATAAAGATTTATTTTATATAAAAATTCATAGAAATAAAATTGATTTGTAACAAAATTATTTATTTAAAATATTTATATTTATTTATTTAGAGTATGCTTATTTATATATTATTTATATATTTATTATATATTTAAAATATATTTATTTTAATAACATATAGTTATAAATATATATTATATGCTTATTTTTTTTATGAACATAAAGTTTAGTTTCTGGTTATTTTTTTTAGGATCATATTTATCATTTTTAGAAAAATTATATTATATATATCATATACTACATCCACCATGACTACATCATCAGAAGATGTTCTAATGCAAGTAGGACAAGTTCGTTATAAAAAAGGAGATGGCACTTTATATGTTATGAATGAAAGAATAGCCTGGATGCTTGATAATAGAGATACTGTATCAGTCAGTCATAAATATGCTGATATTAAGTGTAAGAAAATTTGTATAATTTGCCAAATATTACTCAATAAAAAAATTATTGAAGAAAACTCATTTTGCTATAAATTCACTACATTTTTTTGCTTTCAACATAATAATATATTAATAATTTATCTCTATTTGTTTAATGTTAATAATGTTATTAGATATATTATTTTATTAGATATTTATTAGATATATTTTCATTTTTTATTTAAAAAATGAATGGATTATTGAAAATATATATTAAATATTTCTTTGAATGCAATTAATGACTTAATGTTAACATATTACATTATAATATATTTTCTTTTTTAGTACAAAAAATATCACCAGAAGGAAAATCAAAAATACAATTACAAGTTGTATTGCATGATGGTTCATCATCTACATTTCATTTTGTAAACAGAAATGGACAAGAAGCACAAATTAAAGATCGTGATGATGTAAAAGAATTGCTGCAACAATTATTACCAAAATTTAAAAGGAAAGTAAATAAAGAATTGGAAGAAAAAAATAGGTAAAATCTTTTATATTATAATGTTTAGTTTATATTATTCATATAAATAAGATATAATATTTTTTAATAGGATGCTTCAAGAAAATCCTGTACTGCTTCAATTGTATAGGGATTTAGTTATTACACAAGTTATTTCATCTGAAGAATTTTGGTCACAACATGCTGCAGAATATACTCAAGCTAAAAAAAGTCAAAGACAAGAAATTGGTGTAAATAGTGCTTTCTTGGTAAGAATATTTTGTTAAATTAAAATTAAATTAAATATATAATTATATTTAATAATAACATCAATTAATTATATTCAATAATAACATTAAATTAATATAAGTTAATAATGTTTCACAATTTAATTTGTGAATAAATTAAAAAAAAAAATTGATAAATTTTTGTATTATTTACAGGCTGATATAAAACCACAAACTGATGGTTGTAATGGATTGAAATATAATTTAACTGTTGATATTATAGAATGTATATTTAAGACTTATCCAGCAGTAAAAAGAAAACATCAAGAAAATGTGCCTCATAAAATGACAGAATCAGATTTTTGGACAAAGTTCTTTCAATCACATTATTTTCATCGAGATCGTATCAATGCAGGGACCAAGGATCTTTTTACCGAATGTGCCAAAATAGATGATCAAGAACTCAAAAAAGATATTCAATCGGGTATTGATGATCCATTGGTGGATATAAGTTCTTTTGAGGATCAAAGTTTAGATGAGAATTATGGAAATGGACCTAGTAAATCTGACAAAATTTCAGGAAATATTGTACATCAAAGTATGATTAAGAGATTCAATCAACATAGCATTATGGTTTTAAAAGCCAGCACTGCCAAACAACAATCTACACAGTCCATTCAACCACAATTAAATGGCTCAACATCATCAGCAAGTAAAACTACAGCATTCTCTAATCAGTTAGATGAACAACCAAAGACTAAAAAGGTAAAATTATAATATGATTTATATTTATATATAATATTGATATATAATATATTTAATAATAATATATTTATAAATAATATATTTTATTTTCAGCTTAGAATACAAGAAAAATTAACTTATGATGATCTTGATACCAGTCATGATATAAACACAAATAATAGTACACCATTAAATTTAAATCATGTAGACAGGTATTTACATGGTCCAATTCCAGGATATAGTAATATAGAACCAACATCTGAAGAACTTCTTATAACATTAAATCAATTAAAAAAAGAAGCAAGTGGTTGGCTGACAGGAAATAGTATACCACGGCAATTAGCAACGTCATTAGTTAGTCCAGCTGCAGCAGTTTCAGCCCTGGGAGAATTAACTCCCGGTGGTTCTTTAATGAAAGGCTTTAGAGAGGAAAGTCTTGGACGTAAGCATATATTACTAATTTATTTGATTAATGATTAATGAAAAATTAGTTAAAAATATATAATGTATTATTTATTTTATATACAGAATTAATACCAAAGGATTTAGAAAAAGAATTACGTAATGTATATGTGTGTACATGTGAACTTCTAAGGCATTTTTGGCGAAGTTTTCCACCTACAACTCCACAGCTTGAGGAAAAAGCCATTAGAATGCATGAAGCATTACACAGATTTCATTCTGCCAAACTTAAACCATTTGAAGTAAATTTTATAAAATTTTTATATATTTTATATACATTGATTTATTTTATCTTTATATCTTAAATGTTTGTTTTTCTAGGATCGTGTTCAACGAGATTTTTCTGCTGTTAGTCAACATTTGACAAATCATTTAAATCAATTATTAAATACAGCATATAGAAAATTCGCAGTTTGGCAACAACGTAAGATGCAAATGAGGTAGCCATTAAATAATTTGTCGTATAATTGAAAACAACGTGAATAAAATTGAGCAATATTGGTCATCTTATATATATTGCATTTTATAATGTTACCGTAATTAGGGATTGATATGGGTGTATTTCACAAAAACCAAAGCTAAATCGTGTCATGCATCCTATGCTGCCACATTGTTTATTTATTCTTACATAATCGTGTTTATTATTGTTTAAAAAAATTTTCATAAATATGTTACTTTACTTCATTTATAAGAGAAACTTCATTTCATTAATATTTTCATAATACATATAGCACATAAATTATTTATTTTTTTCCATAGATTATTATGTATCATATTAGGCATCTTATATTGTTTGATCATTAATATAAGATGATGATGATGCTAAAAACAAAAATTTAAATACATAAAAAAAATGTAGAATAAATATTTATAAATTTTCAAACAAATTACATATGATTGCATATAAAATGTTTAAAATTTATAAAATGTAATTACATAGATAGATACATGTTAGGCGCAATGTTTATTGTATGATATCAAAGTAGCTGTGATACTGCCACTGTATTATACTAATAGAAACTTCATTGTTTTAATCTTTGATTATTTTTAAATTACAAATATTTTCTATTCACATTAATGAACTTCTTTTTGACATATCATATATATAATTAAAAAATATTTTATACAATGTCTAAATTCTTTTTGTAATTTATATTTTGAATGAAATAAATTCTTTTTTATTCAAAAATTTATTCATATACAGTGGCATCAGTATACTTTTTATGATATCTGCGATATACTCAACTAAGTGTCTTAATTGTTGAATCCTATTTTTTTTTTACATTATTGGGTAAAGCAATTTGCAACACGAGATTTTGTAAACTGCCTGCTCACTCTCCCTATAGTAGCAATAATTTGGCAGTTACTGAGTTGAGTGATACTTAATTCAATCAGTAAAGACTCTTGGAGATCATAATTGAAAGTTATGCTATAATGATTATTACAATATCAATTATAAATATATTCTTGCATTATCATTATAATAAATGTTATTATTATGAATTCGTATTTAAGTTAATAATATCCTATTCAAAAAGTATAAGTTTCCTCTATTATTAAAATATTAAATTTATTAATATAAATACTAAAATATTAATTTTAATAAATATTAAAATTATTTTACTAATAGATAAATTATATATAATTATATCGTATATAAGATGTTAATATTTATGGAACATTTTTGGAAAATTGATTCTAATAAGATCAAGCACAAAAATTGGTATACAGAAATGTCAGATAAGATTTATTTACAAAGTTATAAGTATTTGAAATTCGCGAAAATAGATAACAGAATCTTTTTCCATCTTGTTTCATTTAATCAAAACTTCAATTGTTTTTAATAATAATTTTTATTAAAAATTTAATAATAATAATTTTAATAATAATTAAATAATTTTGTATATTGTATAATGTTTTTTGTATATCAATTTTTATATTTGTTTTAGCCTCTAAAATCGATTTCCCAAAAGTATTTCATGAATATATTACTCAATGCATAGGTTTTTCAAATTTTATTATTAAGTCTAGATTATTATATTTAAATTTCCTTAAACTACGTAATAAGGTAAGATGAAAATGTAAACAAATTTAATGTATACAATCATACTGAATAATGCAGACGTTCTAGGAAATTGTTTATAAGAATGAGTGTAAATCGAAGATAAAAGTGCTCATTCCTGATTTTCTTAAAAAATCCCGCCTGTTGATTCTTTTCTCTAATTCATAGTCAATAGATGGCGCAGTTTATTGTTGATTTCGTTCAAAATGGCGGCCTGTAATGGGCACTGTGGGGTAATATTGTTCGATTCCCCGCGATAAATGAGACCATGCAAAGTTAACTCGCCCTGGTGTATGTGCGAGTACTGAGTCTAGATTGTATCCGGAATGTACACTTTTCTTCGAATGGTTAAATCATGTAAGCGCAATCATAGTGCCAGCCGATCGTGTGTCGTGCATTGGCTAAGTTTGTGTAGCCATATTTATTGTGTTATTCGGCAAGACGTTATATCTTATACACCGGCAAATGTAATTGGTAATGAAGACATATGGTTTTATTATTAAAGGTAAAATCATTGTTTCAACATTTATTTTTGTAAAAAATGTGACAATTTTGTTATCTGTAACAAAAAGAGATTATAACATATAAAACATTTAAGGACCTTAGGACAATAGGACATGAAAAGACGCTACACTGAGTTCTCTTCAATTCTTCAAAAACGGCGCACATTGATTGTTTCTTTTTCAAACTACAATTACTTTCTCTCTCTCTTTTTCAATTTTCAAACGGTGCAAGTCGTGCAATATCTTAAAACTTATTTGTGGTTTCCTTGTTATCCTTAGCACACATTGTGTTGTGTGGTGCATTAAGGATTTTACGAAAAAAGTGAGTATTTTTTTTTATTAAATCATATGTAATTGTAATAATCAATTTAATAATTTATGTATTTATTTATTTATAATATTTTAAACAAACAAAAAAATGAAAATGTGCTAAAAAATTTAATATATCTATTGTTGTAATGTATGATCATTTGACAATTTATTTATTAAATAATATTTAAATAGTGTATTATATAATTATGTATTAAATGTTTTTAAAGTATTTTCATAAAATTTTTTTCATTGTCTTATTATAATATTTGTGTAAATGATTTTATTCTTCCCTTCACAAAATCCTTTATTAGTAATAAAACCTAATTACAATTAATATATTATATTAACATTTTAAATAAATGAAATTATGTATTAAAATTTCTTTTATATAATATAAATATGTAATACATGTAAATTATTATAAATAATTATATAATTATATATAAATATTTATAAATCATCTTTCTAATATTTATTTTATGTCATTAAATTATGTATAAAAATATATATTTTTTCAGAAAAAGATGGGGCAACTATTATATCACATTATCAGTCCTAATTATTGGATAAAGGTTTATAAACCATATACACAGTGAAAGAGATTTTATTAATTTTTTCTATTTATATATAAGAAATGGATATACAAAAGTTTCAACAAAAAGTTGTGTTATGAATATCAGAAACTATATATATAACATTTATATATATATAAGAGCCTGCTGTACATAAATCAAACAAGCTAGGCACTATCGTGCCAAGCTTGGGTAATGGATCCTGTTCGTCCATGGTATGCAACATATAATCGTCTTGCTGCAAGTAGTGCAAATAGTACATTTCAACCAACAACTTCAAGCACAAACAGTGATTTTGTATCTCATCACTTAGCAACAGCTGCTACTCAAGCAGTTCCTTCAACAACATCACAATTACTTTTACAAGCAGCTCATACAACTGCAACTCTGGCGGGACAACCATCTCCATTCAACCCAGGGGGGTTTTTGTCTCCACCCCCTGTGGGATATGATGTTTTCACACCCTTGTTTCATCATCCTAATCCTAAACAAGCACATTATGTTACTCAACATAGACAAGCTCTTGCTCAAGCACAAGTGTCAGTAACAAAACAAAATGCTACAACAGAATCTGATATTCCTGTACTAAGAGAAAATTATAGTTCAGCACATCAGTCAACATTTTTTGAACATCAAGGTGCGGCAACATCGCCTACAACATCTACATTGGCTTGGACTCATCAGAACAATGCACAATTACCTAGTCCATTTGGTATTCTGCCTCATGAAAGTGTTGTTCCTTCATCCCCAGGACCATCATCTACTACAAAACCAGCTAGTGGTGTTTATGAAAATACATTTAATTCTAATTTTGCTACAACACAAACTATAAATAATTTAAACTCTCAATTAACTACACCTTCGGTTTCTGCTGCTGAATTTAAATCATCCAATTTCCCAGATAGTAAAAAGACAGTAAATATAAGACCTCAATCACCAACAGTAAGTGTTAAATCAGTAGTTTCTACATCACAAACAAATAGCAATCAAAATTTTTTTCAACCAGTATCTACTACATTCAATTCTGAAACATTAGCAAATAATTACTCTACTGGTAATGGAAATCAAACTTCAAATGGGAAAATACAATCTTCTCTTCAACATCACCAATCATGTATTGTTTCAACTACAAATAATACAAATAATACAGCCAATAAAGAATATAGAATTCCTCAACCACCTGCTAGATCAATTGCATCAACAACTATATTTTTAAATACATCTATCAGATCTGTATCTTCTCAAATTCAAGATAAACAATCGGCTAGAAATTTCGCTTCACCTCCCCATAAAACAACTTCTACATCTCAACAAAATATTCAAACTAAAGCACAGACAAAAATATATCCAGAATTAAATACACACAACAGTGAACATAGACGAAACGAACAAACATCTCATGATAATAGCCAATCATCTCCTATTAGTTTTTCCATTATGGATTCACGTAATTTGAATTATACTACTGGAAATAATACAAATTGTACAAATACTAGTGGAAAAATTAATAATAATCAAAGAAGTCAATCAAACAGTAACTTACAAACTCATTCTCAACAACCACAACAACAGCAGCAGCAGCAGCAACAATTTCATGTTTTAAATCAACAACAGCAACAACAACAAACATCATATAGACATTATCTAACAGGATCTACAGCTGATTCTGAATATCATCATTCAGCAAGATCAAAATCTGCAACTTCCACTGATTCTGCTTATTCTTCTAACAATTCCACACAAAATGGACCTGATTGTAGTGTTGTTGTGCCAAGAAGACCAAGTCCATTACAAGCACATTCACAAGCAAGTCCATTGGGACATGTTCCAAGTCCTGCTTATCCTATGTATAATAGTCCAATGGCTACTATGTCTTCTCCTTCACCTTTACAACAACATACAGAAAATGCAAATCAATGTGCAAGTGGATCATCATATAAAGGAACTGTGCAACAACAAGTTACACCACCATCACCATTAGATGTTACTGTACCACGACCAGCATCACAAGGACAAGTTGCTTATTCATCAGTCATTACAAGAGCTTTAGGTACTACTGAAAATAAAACTAATTATAATACAGATAGTAAAACTTATGATAGACAGCAACAAGATTTTTCACAAACTCAAAAACAAGTTTGTTGGGAAAATGATAATCGACAGTCAAATAATAGAAAATTTTCTATTACTCTATATACTGGTGGAAATTCTGAAGTAAATCCTCAAACTTTGCCAATTCAACAACAAGTACAACGAGTGCTTAATGTATCTGATAGACAACAATCATATTTTGAATCCAGCCAAGTGACACTACAAGATTTAAGTAGTTGTAGAGGAGATCCTATGAGTATAGTAAAAAATTTACAGACTTTACAAGGTTCATGTCAAGTACAACAACAAACTACTGTTTCTGTTGCTCCAACTGAACAACAAAAGCAAATAGAAGAACGACGTAAAGTAGATACAAATAAAAAAAGAAAAAGTTTAGAAAAAAGTGGACATAATTCTTTAAATGAAATAAGTGGAACAACGACAATGACAGAATACTTAAATAGAATACCACCCCCTGCACATCATAATACAAATCAACAGCAACAAAATGGTTATTTTGATTTTGAAAGATGGAATTTACCTCCACCTCCTGCTAAAATGTTTCCTACTGCATCAGGTGCTTTCAGTTCACAATCAACCTTACATTCAAATAATTTTGTTGGTTCTCCAGCTCATCAACATCAATCTTTGATGGTACCTCATCATCATGCTCCACCTCCTATTCCATATTTTCCAGCCTTTCATATTCCTTCAAGCCATCATCATTCACATGAATTTCAATCTTCTGTTGAAATTACACCTATAGGTTTTGGTGAAAATTCAACAAATCAAAATCCTAATTATAATCAAGATATCAGAGATGATCAACCTAAAGTAATTGTTCCTAATATTGAAGAAGAATTAGGTTTCCTACAACAAAATCAACAATTGATTCAAACTGTTAGCATCTTAAATAAAGATTTCAAACGATCTAATAAAGATCCTAATTCAGGATTTATGACA